AGAAAAACAAAGCTTTGTGTCTGTATCTCTGTAACTTAGAGGTACCTTTACTGTATTTCAGAAGTCCAATGTTTCACATTAATGTTCATGGTAAAAAGGTGACTAAATTATTCAAGTTGTTATTCATTTTATGACCATCTTGATAAGGACAGCGGTGACACATGGGCTGAGGTAGGAACAACACTCTAATTAACACCCAACCTCTTGGGGCTGCGGTGGCCGAACCCACCAATTTCATTACCTGAGAAAAGGATCCAACTGTTTAAAAATTAACAAGTCTCTTGATTAAACTCATGAAGTTAGCATGTAATTGACTTCTGTGAAGCACTATAGGGCAAAGATTGATTGATTGATTGTTTCACTGCCCCAGTACTGGCACTCATATGCAAGGCCAGGAATCTTTATAATTTCTGGTGTCTGGTCGTGGTGATGGGCGATGTGCATTTGGCTATGGACATGCTATGAACACTGATATGGTGCAACTGGGCTGAGGGGGAGGCTGTATACAAGCAGTAGGTTCTGGGTATGTGGATACACATGTGGATTACAATCTCTGATGTCGATGTTGTCAAGGAATGGAGACATGGATGCAGTCATTCAAGGATGTTAGTATATTTTGATTTTGTGAAGTGATGTTTTGTGGGTAAGTGTTTATCTCCACATCTCTACTGAACTCTTTGGTTACTATTTTTGCCTTTTTTTTCATTAAATTTGTGACTCGTAAAGATATGTTCCAATAGAATTTTAATATAGCAACCATTAAACTTAAGTGTTAACCAGTCATCACACTCTATCAATTTACAATCGTCCAGTACCACAAAGGTCATTTGTCCTTATCCATACTTATTGAACATGCTTTCTGGGCCTTTATTTATGCAAAATTCAAACAATTTGAGAGAATAATAATTTGTTTTATAAAAAGGACTAAATAATGATGAGGTCTAGATGTTTATCTATTTACATTTTTAGATTTAAAATCATGATCAGTTGATTGTATTGTCAGTTAATGATATAAGTTAAAGAAAAACTTCATTAATCCACAGGCATACGCAGCTGTACACACACAAAGTAGTTTTTATATTGACCCCTGTATCCCTAGGTTTCGTAGGGTACATGGGTCTAAGAAAATAAAATTATTCTCAATCTACCCATATCATTTTCAGTCAAATATCGTCTCAGATAAATGCAAACAGATATTGAAAATGAATGATGGCTTGACCATTTGACGACGTGTTCAATCCCACCAATCGTCAGGGTCCCTCAGGATGCAGTTTTGGCAAGATTTTGGTTCGGTCTGGTAATAGGGGGTCGGGTACCTGGGTTGGGTCAGGTCATAGGGGGTCGGGTACCCAGGTTGGTTCTGATAATAGGGGTTGGGTACCTGGGTTCGGTCTGGTAATAGGGGGTCGGGTACCTGGGTTGGGTCAGGTAATAGGGGGTCGGGTACCTGGGTTGGGTCAGGTAATAGGGGGTTGGGTACCTGGGTTGGGTCAGATAGTAGGGGGTCAGGTACCCGCGTTGGGTGAGGTAATAGGTCCCAGCCCTACGTGTAGGAGTCGTACACAGTTAGATCAGCACCAACAGTAATGACAATGAGGCCCATCAAGCTGGGGATCTCTTGTTTACACAAAGGGAATCTCCCAGAAGGAATTAATTTGAAATCCATGTCTCATCGGCTGTGCTATTACAATTAAGTGTAATTTCCAGCATTGTTAGCATGTTGTATGAATGAGCTTTACTGATTAGCACCACACTGGCTTCCTGACACTGATCTGGTTGTCACCATGCCATGGTGGGCTTCCAGCATCAGTGTTTGTTAGCGCTGATGTTGTCATTATCGCCATGGTTACACCATGCTGTACTCTGTATCAAGTCCCCAAAAGGACTCAAATTGAATTAATCATTGTGGTATCTGGAACCCACATTTGATATGTGAAATCTTTCTGAATTGAATTGATGTTGTTTAAAACAGCTTTGAACAGTTATTGAACATAAAAAATAGTCCCCAGTTGAAATCATGAATTATTAGAATTGTGCTATATCGGTTTAATGTTATCCCTTTTTTTTGTCTGACAGTTACCTTGCCTTAGAAATTGACTCCTTTTATCCCCCACAACCCGTTTTATGGGGGTATTATAAAGGACGTCTGTCCTTGTTTCTTTGCATCCCTGCATCCGTCAGTGCAAGATGTCTTTTCCGCAGCAGATCTTGAAAAACGTACAATATTTCTGCCAAGATTCGAAGATATAGCATAGTTCCTTGGTACCATGCTTGTTGTAAGAATTCATTAGTATAATGAATTGACTGAACACAAAGACTGTTACTTTGATGGGCATGGTGTAAAGTCTGTCATGAACTGAAACTTATGATATACCATGAAATCTAGGAAGTCCATGGTGGAGACTAGGGTTTTATGAGTAACACTAAATACTATCAATAGATAGAACCTACAGATTACCAATATCCAGAAAGTACATTTATACACATGATAGAATACATATTATTAAAAAGAAACATTGAGAACCTCAGTTCTCCAGAAAGCATTTACATTCTATTGAACTGTTTTCCTTGGCTTCAGACAATTTGCATCTTGGCTCCAAACACACCTTCACACAGAAGAAAGGACTGAAATTGCTTCACATGAATAATAGATGAATGTTATTAAGCCATGAATTGTTGCTGACACTCCAAAGTTTTCAATTCATATGCATATCTTATCAATAATCATCTGAATTGAAACATGGTCAATAGGTGTGTAAAGGAAGAGATATGATTTCACCGGAAACAAGAGTAATTTTGTACTGATCAATTTTTAAGGCTTTACAAAATTGCCTCCTTATTAACAAAACAGAGACTTTGGCCATAAAATAACAATGATGTCTTTATTTCTGTTATACTTACATTAATGACACATAAACAAGCAAGAAGGCTTTCACATCCTAACATTATTCATTGCGTCTTGGAAATATTATCAGCAATGACAATTCTAATCTCCCCATATCACTGATCCAAATTAAATTAATTTAAAATCATGATCAGTTGATTGTATTGTCAGTTAATGATATAAGTTAAAGATAAACTTCATTAATCCACAGGCATACGCAGCTGTACACACACAAAGTAGTTTTTATATTGACCCCTGTATCCCTAGGTTTCGTAGGGTACATGGGTCTATGATAATAACATTATTCTCAATCTACTCATATCATTTTCAGTCAAATATCGTATCAGATAAATGCAAACAGATATTGAAAACGAATGATCGCTTGACCATTTGTCAACGTGTTCAATCCGACCAATCGTCAGGGTCCCTCAGGATGCAGTTTTGGCAAGATTTTGGTTATCCAAGAATATCCAGTGCATTTATCCTGACACAAATTGGTTGCCCTAATTTCATTAAAATAGATTATTGTTTCTGTTTCTACTGATAATCCAGTGAACTGTTGTATTTCTACTGATAGTCCAGTGAACTGTTGTATTTCTACTGATAATCCAGTGAACTGTTGTATGCCTACTGATAGTCTAGTGAACTGTTGTATTTCTACTGATAGTCCAGTGAACTGTTGTATGCCTACTGATAGTCAAGTGAACTGTTGTATGCCTACTGATAGTCAAGTGAACTGTTGTATTTCTACTGATAGTCCAGTGAACTGTTGTATGCCTACTGATAGTCCAGTGAACTGTTGTATGCCTACTGATAGTCCAGTGAACTGTTGTATGCCTGCTGTTTGTCTAGTGAACTGTTGTATGCCTACTGAATGTCTAGTGAACTGTTTTATGCCTACTGTTAGTCTAGTGAACTGTTGTATGCCTACTGTACGTCTAGTTAATTGTTTGTTTTTACTGCCTTCTAACCTTTGGAAATTGAGGTATATTACTAGACAAATATGATGGATTATATCTGGGACTGACTTGTATGTGAAGTACATTTGTTTACATAGCTCAAACTTATATGCTTACAAAATAGGACTTCGATCTCTCAGTTTCACAATCTATGGAATATAATACCAAGTGAAGTGGTATGTCTCCCATTCCCCCGACTGTTTAAGGAACAGCCAGGCAAACATTCCGCTTGGTTTTATAGCCTCCTTTGCATGCTAGCCAGGCAAACAGTGGCCTGTTGTGGGTGTGGCGATGTCAGTTACACCAAATGATGTCAATCTCTCTAGAACACCATACAGACCTAGCATGCTTGTACCTCATATCTTGTTGTAAATTGCCTATTCAAACTGACTTTAGGCATAAACTGGACAGAAACATGAAATTTAGTGTGTGAAAAATAGAAGTGGAAGTAGATTTTTTCTGTCAACAGATGTGGGTACTTGTGAAAGATCTGCACAGATATTGTGCTGAATACTGACAGTTAATCCTTTTATACACATGAGAAATACACTTTCTTTGGTACTATTAGACAAACTCGTGCTATTTGGAGTATGTTAAAAGGAAAATCAACTCTGATATTTTCATTGTCAAATAACAATTTGTAACCGCCTATTCAAATTTTTAAATTCTCTGTTAAGAGTTATATAAATTAGTATTTGTAAATTCAACCAGTACCTCTATAACACTTTAAGAAGTCACATCAGACCACAATATGTCACCTTCATTAATAAACTAATACTAAAAAGTGAAAAGGAACATTTTAATCAATATATTCCTCTCACTTGTTTCTGTCACCTAGCAACAGTTCCATCATATCCGTAGTTAAGGATATTCAAGCCATAGTAGCACAATGCTATATCAGATTTCAACATGGCTGGGAGTATGTGAACAGTTCCCGGGTGGAACATCCAAGGGTCCTGTGGATTTAGTTAGCTGCTCTCTCTCTCCCACGTAGCTATGGCTTTATGTGAAGGATGTATACCGAGCAGTGCTATAAATCTTATATTGGGGAGCTCCGGCGTTTGCATGACGGCATTAGCAACGTTAAGCCTATTGATCTTGGTGTGATCAGATCCGGTCCTTAGCGGGCCGTTATGTTTACAGTCGGTGGCCTACCCAAAGAACGGGGTAGAGGCATGCCTAAGTTACCCGCCGTTCATAACCATGCTTGATGAATGACAGCCAGCAGTTAGTGACTCCCCCCATTTTGTTGACTTGCATGGGCTTTGAGTCCAACATTGGAAATAAAATACCGCTGCAAGAATGGATGAAAAGATAGGTAAGATATCAGACTTATTAATCTTTATTCCATACAACAGAACTTTCATGATTGAATAGGTGTGTTACGGAGGTATGTATGTTTCTGACACAGTGTGAGTGGCCTGCACCCACTTATAACAGACCTAATCCATCAATGACTGGTGGTGTGTATTAACATAAGACTTAAATGGACATGCTGGAAGACTGTAAGGACTGTCACATACAAGTGGCTATGCATGTGTTGCATCTATAGGAAGGGACATTGTTATCCCCATGGATGGATGTGTTAGTGTTCTACAGGGCCATCCATGCATGGCAGAACACTTAATCAGATGACAAGTTCTTCGCTTAACATGGTTTTTTACATGATTTTCTGTTAGCATATGTCATGACAAACTTAAACTTTAAAGTGGTCTTTTTGGATTTTACTTATGATGATGTGATAGGAAAATATGAGAGCTTTTATGATTATGGCATTGCCTTGGTGTTAAAGTGTTGTGATTTGTTGAGCAGTGTCGTTATTTCAATCGTATATGTCATCACAATGGCCCTCAACCCGATATACGTCTGTGCGCATTAATGATCGTGTTTCTGCAAGTGTCCGTCTTTTTCTAGATTAACTGTTTCATGACCTCAACAAAGGTTTGTGTTTGTCTGTAACAGCTAGAGCAGATCACTGATTTGTGATATTGTCATACCCAGGGAAATATATTAGCTCTCCCTAGCTTGCGCATAGACATTTGCTGTCTGTAAAGTTATAGATAGCCTTAGGACAGGTCTTATACCATTGTGCCTGTTTGTTCTCATTGCTGGGGATTGTGTTGAAAATGGTCAGTTGTTTTCCCAGCTTTGTTGCTTTAATTAAAGCCAAGCCTGCTGTAGAGTGCAGTGGTTTGTGTTGCACCTAGCTCATCACACTACCACTGAGTTCGCTATACACTGTGGGGGCAAATCCTGGTAATCTCACATCATAATGTTAGTACAAACTTGCTGAAAGAAACATATATTGTACCACAACCGACATTAAGGATGGCAGCTTGAATAAAATTGAAGGATGAGGGTTAAGGATTAGTCTTCACAAAATATCACTATGCCATAGAATTTAAATATAGTTGCCATAGTTACCTGCCCTTGACATGTTCCAGAAAAGACCTGATTGAAGGTGCAGACCATCAGTTGTGTCAAGCTGAGATGACACTCCTAATGCTTGTGAAGTGTTACATGGAGAAGAGAAATAGAGGTGTCACTGTTATGACTAAAAAGTATCATGATGTATCGATATATCGATTAACAATAAATCTCCAACAAAATGTCGGGGGTACATAGTTAAACCAAGGTTCTGTCCGTCCGTCTGTCCGAAAACTTTGTCCGCACGATTTCTCTTAAACTATTCAGTGGATTCATCTCAAACTTAGTACATATAATCTGTGTCATATGGAGGGGTGCAGTCAAAAGAAAAAAAATGTTTTTTTTAATTTTCCATTTTTTTATGAATTTTTCAAACCCTAACCCTATCCTAGCTATTTAATTTGTAACCACTGACACACTATTATTATTAGTGAGCCACACTCACGCTCACCTTTGCACTTGTTTCAATGTGTGTATGAAGACAAAATTACCTAGCTAGAACTGTCATTAATAAATTCAATGCTAAATATGATCTTGGTGGAACCATTTCATGCTTAATATTGGACTTTCTGACATTTGATTGTCCATATGAATCACGATAATCTTAATAAATAATACAAATTCTGTGACAATAAATTATTAATTTAGAAAAATATTTCATGAATTTGTATTCACACACCATAAATATTACAAGAAGAGAAGAAAGATGTTTGTTTCTTGTGTAATACAGACACCAGTTCATGTTGTTTAACAGTTCCATTCAATGTAGGAATTGCCATGACCACTATATTCAATGTAGGAATTGCCATGACCACTACATTCAATGTAGGAATTGCCATGACCACTACATTCAATGTAGGAATTGCCATGACCACTACATTCAATGTAGGAATTGCCAAGACCACTACATTCAATGTAGGAATTGCCATGACCACTACATTCAATGTAGGAATTGCCATGACCACTTCTCAAATGACTTTTAATGATGTGAAAGCTCAGTGCCTTGTGTGACTGCTGCCCTGCCTGGAGGTACAACAGATGGAGATACCATCAGGCTCAAGTGTGATTGCTTGCCGAGCATGGAAACACAGCTTTTAATTGCATTCAGCAAACACATAAACTCCCATGTTAATCTTGTGATTGTATGATTGGCAAATTGTGTTGAAAATATAAACACTTAATTTTTCTCATGCTGATCCACGGATAGCCTTAATTCATTAAAGATATCTCAATTCCCAGTTAAATACAGGCCCAGAGAATGGCACATGTAAGTTATGTGAATGATTTTCAATCATGATTGGTCAGTCAGAGGTTTCAAATTATAATAACCACCGCTAATTGAAACAGCTGTTATTAACATTTGTAACCTTATGTAGCAAGTTTGGTTCCAGTTATGTCAACAGGTTACCTAGCTCGACATTAAAAACACAGTAGCTTATTTCATAATTTCCATCATCAACCCCTACTTTTTAAAAATTTTGCTTTACAGATTTATGTATTTTGATTCCTGATTGGTGGGTAGGGAAAAATGAACATCAGAAGGAAATGCAAACATGAGTTACTTCTAGTGTAACCATAGAGTTCTAGATATTTTCACCATTAAACAATATATCACGTGGCTAACCACGGGTCCGGGTAGTCGTGTGGGTACCCAGGTCCTACTCAGGACCCACCCGACCCAAGTACCTGAGTTACCTGCCCCAGCCCTACTAGATAAGTGCCTGCACATGATTGCGTTAGTCAGTGCTGAATTAGGACAGCATGTGAATCATATTAATACCAATGCCATGAGAGATTTGGCCTGATGGGAATACTTATAGGCCAAGTGACCATTGCCCATGACAGCAGATATATAGTGTGAAAGGGCCTATGTGGCTCAGAAGTGAAGGGTCGTGTCCGTGACCTTGACCTCATGGCAGTCTGAAGCACTGTGACATGGGTTCAGCTTGTTGCCAATGGTTGAACATTTGTCCATCATGCCTCTTTCATCATTAATCAAAAAAATTCCTGAGTGTAAGTGCAGAATTGTTTTGACCAATGGTGCTGTGCCTGAAGGTAGTTTAATGGATTTCACAATCAATTATTCATCTTCCTGGAATGATCGTGTGTTCACACACCTCCACATTTCAGTGCAACTCAGTGCCATTGTCTGACTGGAAACCGGTTTTAGTTCACCTGGAACATGATAATCTGATAATATCATTATTTATCAACCTTTTGCCTTAAATCCTTTTTGGTGGACAATATTCAGTGCTAAATAGTTAATCTTACCAGTCAGGAAAAATTCTGTTTGCAGTTGATTCATCTTAAAAATTTAAAGGATTATTGAAACTGTGTTCTTTCTGCTTCCTCTCCATATTATATTTTCGCAGCTGTCTGTCTAGAAATGGTTATTGTGTAGTTGCAGTGTTACCTATGTCATGAGAACATATGTACCCCAGGTACGTTCCTGTGTACAGAAATGTACCCTAGCCAAAATCAGAGCACAGAAGGGTGCCCTAGGACAAGTTCATTCCGCAGTGCGCTTCATCTGTTCCTTAACTCTGAACATGGAAGATTTTCTTCAGTTTCTGGATTGGAACTCTCATACTGTTGTATGAAATGCATTCCAGCCTGCTAGATAAAAAATACACATACACACAGTGACGTATGCACCTATGCTTGCTGTAAAAGGCGACTATGCTTGTCGTAAGAGGCGACTAACGGGATCGGGTGGTCAGGCTCGCTGACTTGGTTGATGCATATCATTGATCCCAATTGCGTGGATCGATGCTGATGTTGTCAATCACTGGATTGTCTGGTCCAGACTGGAATATTTCTGAGTGCGGCGTTAAACAACAAACAAACAAACATAATCAAGCGAACCGGAACTGCAACATGACCGTTTGGGGTTTAGGGTTGAGGAATATGGACTCGTCTGCCGTATGGGGTACCGGGTACTGTTCTGTATTCTGATTTTGGCAAGGGTACTTCTCTGTATACTGAAACGTACGTGAGGTACATATCTGTCCTACTCATGACAACATGACCCTTCAGCATCAACATGTCGCTTGCTTACGACACGTGCGACTGTGAGTTTTGGTACAAGGGGAGGTTTGCAGTTCTCTGAAGAGATAGCTTGACCTCTTTGGCATATAATCTGAAATTATTACTGACCAGGCTTTTGAGTGAGTGAATGCTGTTTCATACTGTAATATATATAATACAATATAGTTTTATCAGAAGGATAAATATTCCAGTCCTGACCAGCCACCCAGTGGTTGATAGCCAAAGCAAAGGCAGACACACAATCAGCAAGGTCACACATTGTGAGGGACCAACCATTTGATATTCTTGCCCGGGTTGCCTAGTATCTAGTATCAAGATTAGATATTTTTTCAGATTTAGCTACAAAACCAGCTATTTTATATCTAAAACTATGAACCTGAATTGTTTTTAAGAAAAACACCTTGCAACAATGTAATGTTTGTGGCAGGCAATTTCTTTGTTTTTCAACAGTCTGAAGCATTATTATTTTGTTTAATAATCTTTGGGGATAATATTTGTGAGCTGATATTATCCCAGGTCCCCCCCCCCCCCTTTCACACACTCACACACACAGAGAATAACAAATGGTCGGTCCCAAGACAACCAATTACCATTGATTCACCTCCTGCCACAAGCATGTACTGGTTCAGATCTGCTCAGCTCATGAGTATTACCTACATTTTTTGTGTTATTTTATGGGGATATTATGTTCCTCTTTTTCCTGTATCGTTAGTCAGTGTTGAAGGTGTGTATGCGTTAAATTTCTTTATCCTATACGTAACCTTAACACTGGTTCAAAGTTTTTGTGGTATGTTAGTAAGAATGTGATAATTGTTTGTGTGGTTGTGATCTCTGAGTCAATAA